AATCAAAGATATTCCGTATGGATATTTTACATTTTTTTTTATTATTTAGAAGGTAGAATAACACATATAGTATAGGGTAGTAGAAAAGATTGTAGTTATCATCGCCAAGGTTAAGCAACCCTTGCCGAGATTGGTCTATGGATGGATAATCATATGCGGAAGGGGAAGAAGTAGAAAGGTAAGAAATTACTTTTAGAACATCTATCTTGTAATGAAGTAAGTTACGAACATCAATTGTCTAGAGATCCTCACTTCTTCGAAAACATAATAGGTAGGTATGCGTTTTGATGAATCCGAACTTCTAAAAATAATTATGTTACATAAAAATGAATGGTTTAGTTGGCTTAATAAGTGGTACAAATTGTATCAGGGAATAAGAGGGAAAGTATATTGTACGAATTGTGACAGTAAGTTTCTTGTTTATTGTATAAAGGTGTTCACCTTTGAACAAGAAACTTACTTGTGAAAATAATTCGTTTTATTTTTATATTGTCTTCTGTCGTAGTAAACACATTTCCCCATGTTCTAATTTGTATTTCACGCGCTTTGTGCTTGTCAACGTTACTTACAATACTGAATTGACAAACGTCTGTATCGGCGTCTGGAGACGCCCATAAAGCCTTGTCATTTTTTGTACGGCGATTCGACTCTATTGTCTATCTCAATATTATAATCCTAATATACTTTCCTAATCATAATAATTCAAATATTATTATGATTATTAGCAAAAAACATACAAAACTGACATTGTATTTCAATTTCGTGAGATCTCGCTTGAGCCCCAATTCCGCAAGATTTGCATTCCCTACCTGGGGGCTTACTCTTGAATCCAATTCCGATCGATCGACATTGGTATTGTGAAATTTCGTACTCTCGAGATGCAACACTAGCGCCTATTGCATCCATATTGCGTGGATATTGAATGAACTAAATGTTATTGAGTTTGGCTTTATATTCCGTACTCTGAATACTATTTTAACAGTTACGATAAGGGTTGTATAGTTTTGACATTGAATAATTATTGAGATTTTATTGGATTGAAATTGCATTGACATTGAGATTGGTTTCAAGAGTAAGCGCCCTGCAATGCTAGAGACTTCACAAATGCGTTGCATTTTATATATACATAATAGTTTTCCGGCTTATAATCCTAGTTTTGTGTTGTAGTCACTGTCGTGCCCAAAATTATTTGTTCCGTGCCATGACACGAAACTTATTATAATTCACTACATACTACATTATTGTATGTAGTTTGTTCATTTTATCCTCATCTGAACAGAGGACAGTTTGCTTTAAACGCATTTATAAGGAAGTCTACACTACAAATCATGCCATTGTAAATGCGAACACTTTTGTAAAAAACAATAGGTGACATATATCAGACTAATGCACAGTAGTCACCGACGCGTACCCATTATTTGCGACTCGTTACGGCAATCTACATATAGTCATGGGAATACAATCAATTTATTAAGCCAGCGCATTGTAACATTAGCATAGGTGTAAGTACTGGATGCTAACTAGTTACATCGGCGCGAGGCCCGACACTTCTTTAAAGTTAATTGTTCTATCTCATCAAGTTTGTACTGAACGCGAAATAAGAAACTGAATCGATTGCGTGCTACGTCCTTTTCTTTGATTCATAAACTGCCTACATCATTATTTGTAACTCTATAACTCTGAAAAAAAAAGACGAAGCGGCTATGTAATTGCTTTGTACTAGATCCAATAAAACTAGATTTTCGATTTAAGGCACAAGCTTGTAATGTAACTACCCACTTTTGGGCAAAGGTCTGCTACGGAGAAGAATGAGCATTGTGGCATTAATTACAACGCTTGTTGAAGGTGAACCAAACTTGTAGATACAACTACTAACATAATAATTATGATGAAGAATATCATCGTAAGGGAACTCGAAGTTATCATTTTAATTAAGAGTTTGACCGCTTTGAGCAAGTGTTTGAGAAAGAAGAGGTCTTTGCTCAGCAATGGGATAGTTACAAGCTGTAATAATGATGAAATCTAGCTAAATCACACTAATATTATAAATGTGAAATGTTATAATTGTTTTGTTTGGATGCTTGTCCGTCAATCGCGTTGAAACTACTGAACTTCTAAGTCGAGTAGAGAACGTCAAAATTTCGAGTCTGTCTGTAGGCCTTTAATTCCAAAGTTATACTCACTCCCTCATGATCATCAAAATAGATCTGTCTGATACCTATTTCCCATAAACTCAGAGAGCTGAAATTTGGTACAAAGTTGGGGTTTAATGGCCACATAATGGGAAAACTATAAAAACTAGGATAATCGAAGAATGGTTAGAAACCACAAGACCCCAACCAAAGAATTATTAAGCTTCAATAACGCACAATATGAACTATAATAATAAAGAAATCGCAGATCGTCTTAGACTTTTAAAATGTGTAGAATGCAGTTTAGTAAGTTAAGTACGCTTGTAAGTGTAATGCACCGTGGACCGCGGCCATCGACCAAAGGAAGTCCCCAATGAACAGGTCGCGTGACGGCACTCCACTAATGTGCCACGTTACATCATTACTGACCACTCTGGCCAGAGGAAATGATCCTCTTGAGACAGTGGCCCGCATCAATTCAATAAGCTTATAACAGTAACAATTTCATGAGTATTAATAAGTACCTACTGAATAGGTTATTTTGCCAAGTGGTAGAATTCTGTCACCTTAATTTCGACTGCGGGTGGCGTGATTTTGGGTGACACCATGGTGGTAGGCTTCGGCCGACGGCCTTATGACCATCCACCGAGCAAAAACGTGTCGCCAAGCGGCCTAGCCGTGTTCCGCCACGATGCTCGGTGACGCCGATTGAGGGAATGGGTCGAAGTGGGTGTTCCAATGCAGACTAACCGTTTTGACGCGCGCTGGTGTGGCGGCATCGGGTGGCCAGTCACGGAGGGTAGCGGGATCCGAGGCACGGTTCACCGCTGGCCGACCGCGGATTGGGGGCCCAAGTAATGTGCTAGCCACACGTGATAGGCTGCCCCGCCATCTGTCGAAAAATCCCACGGGTACGCCATCGTGCCGGTTGGCGACCGAAGGAGAGGGCCCGATGGATACCCGTGGGGGGGCTCGGCCGTCTCCGCAGTCTTCGGGCTGGCCTCCTAATGATGGGGATGGGGCTAACTGCCGTACGTCTGTTGGTCGTCTGTGTGGAAGCAACCTAACTTTTCTGAAGAAAGGTTGCTCGGGGATGGTAGTGAAATGGAGAAGAAGAAGAAAAAGAAGAAATGGAGAAGATGAAGGGTTACTCCCAAATGTCGACAAATAAACAAAAAAGATACATCAGTGATTCATCACAGCTTCTTACCAAACAGGGTGAGCATGGTGAGCATTACTGTAGATGTGTACTGTGAAGAACTAAACACAATGATAGAGAAGCTGGCACATCTCCAACAAGCATTGGTCAATCGCTAGTCTCCCGCTGGTCCTGCACGACAACGCGCGACCTCATATTGCGTAGCAGGCGGTATAGAAGTTGCAATTGGGGTTCGCGCGACTCCCGTCGCAAGAAGTGTCTTCCGCGACTGCTGTGGCGTGAGCAGGTTTCTTCCTACTGATGCCCAGTTCGCTCCAGTCCAAACGTGCTCTATTGGGTTCACAAACACTGAACAGCTTCAAAGATATCATGTTTCTCTGCCACAGGTCTTTCCGCGATTGAATTGGTTTCAGGAGTATCTTCCTGAAGTCGGATGCGCATGGTGGCGTTTTTATACAAACACTTCGAAACGTAAATCGAAAATCGTCGACTGTCTGTGTATAGTTGATATGGCACCGCTGGAGACACTGCATACCTTGCCGCAGCATATGAATGTGGTTGTGCCCCTGTTCCATCCAAAAAGCGCAGAGCCTAATAGTTGTGGAGATATTCATGGTTAAAATTTTGGGTTAGGTTGGTACTAACACTATTTTATATTTCCATCAATTTTAACTCAATTTCCACCGCTGTATGGGGAGGGAAGGGCGAGGGTGGAAAGGATTACTATTCACACACACTTCGCATTTGGTGCACAGTTGGCACAGTGACTGCTGAGCAAGTGACTGCCTCACAATGTTTTGGGTGTGGGTGTCATGTGTATGTGAATTTGAATGTTTGTAAACACACCCACAATACATGAGAAAATCACAGCGTGGGTGGCGGGACAACATTATGTTTCAAACCTATGCTACATGGTAGTGTGACTAAAATAGGTCCTAGGTAAGGGGTTAGTTTTCCAAAATTATGATAATCGGTGTGAATGTGGGAAAGGTTCCACACACTACTATTATTTGATTTAAATTAACAATTTACTAAAAGTAAATTAACTTCTTCTATTAACTAAAAGTAAATTGTTAATTTATGTGTGATGTATGTGAAGATATTATTGATTTTCTTACATAAACTTACTAAATTACTAGAACTTATTAAACTGTCAAACACCGAGCAGTCACCGGTGACCCCAACCTATTGTTCTATAATTGTGTCTATAATGACGGTACTCAACAAGTTAATTGCATAATTGTATGTTTTGTAGAATAAATCAAAACATCACATTCGAATATTAAACAAAAGAATCTTGTAACTGGTTCTAACAATATTCCATCTCGTCTGATACTCTGAGATTGTAAATCAAATAAATAAAACAAAGCAACATCACTGTACAGTCTGCATTGACAATCTGTAATTAATTAAGTATCTGTATTGCTATTGTTTTATATTTATTTATCACCAATTCATTAGCCAGTCAATCTGATAAATAAACAACTTACACCATTGTTTAAATAATGTAAAATTATCTATCGAATCTATCAGTGAAATGGAATGTTACCTATTACTATTACCTGTCAAAGACGAAATAAATTCAAGATATTTACAGAATAGTCAGCTACGAATCTGTGACTAATATTTACGTGCACACGGCCACGAGACAAAGAATACCTAGTACAGCTTCAGTAAAGGCAGTCACCCTGTATCAAAACATTACTCACTGTTAAAGGCGGCCAGTTTCCTGGTGGAGCCGAGCCGTTTCATGGGCGTACGCGGCTCGACATCGCGATCATCCAGCGCCGGCGCCTCGGTTGCCGTCGGTGTTGTAGCTTCTGACATAGCTATTGTTAAATTGCACTGTTTTGAAGCACCATTCCACTAACAAACTATGTTAAATAAATTAGGAGTTTTTAAAACTAATACGAGCTCATACTGTACGTAAATATTCTCCTTTCTTTCTCTTACGTTTACGGTAAGCATCAACAATTTGACTAATGAAACAAAAATAACATTAGAGTTCAAATCAGTTATATGCATAAATCGAGAGTTCACTGTATAATTCTTTCGTTTATTTACAGTTTAAGATGTGCAAGGTTCTAATAATAAGATAAATTTCGATGCAAAAAAACATTTCAATTAATATATAAAAATATTTGAATTATTTATGTTGGTGTTGGTGTGTTCCGTTAAAATTTTTAACATTTTTTTGCTCCCTCTCTAACGTGCTATTGCTACACTATAGACTACAGACCACAGACTCTACAGAGTACAGAGTATGAAAGTACCATAGCTAAGGCTGACTCCACACGTTGGCCCCAACACACGTGCCAACGGAGAGCTGTCGATTCGGTGAGGCGTCCACAGCCACACATATTGGCCATTAAACTAGTTCTATTTCGTCAGGGCCAATGTGAACATGTCCGATACAGAAATCTTCTTCAAGTGTAGGCGATATGTGCTCATTAATGATACTTGCTTTTTTTAAATATCCAATTGAGTAAATCATTCCATATTCTGCTGAATGTTGCGCTATGCATCATAATATTATTTTGTTTTTATTATCCTTTCGAGTTGCGTCCCATTACGGGTTGCCAACTTTATTTACAATAAATAAAGTATATTCAGCTCTATGAAGATTATTAAACAGTATTTGAGAAAAACAAATAATAATTGATTTATTTATTGTTTTAAATACATATTTTTATAGCTTTTCGCACAACTTACTAATTTAATTTTTTTTTAAATGTCTTACTTACTCTAATTAAAATAAACGAAGAGCTCATTTTAATTAAATTTATAGATACTTTATTTCTATCCTCTATAACTGACAAAACTTTCCGTAATTGCTGAAGTGGTGGCAACAGAAAATAGATTTGAAACTAATAAATGCACTTCTGGCCAGTACTCATTTCAAGAAAATCTTTATCTTCTGATATTTTTTCATAAATTACTTTCGAATTTGTTAATCCTAAATATAAATATCATGGACATTATTGACACATTGCCTCATATTGGATGTGCTTGATAAAGTTCATTTATTCATTTGTCCATGTCGGTGACGATTTTGTCGATGAGGAAGCCATTCTCACTCAACGTACGCATTCGATACGTGTTGTATTATAAGAGAACTGAGCAAAGCGCCAACGTGTGGACAGATCGCCAACATTGGCGCAGATTCTTTTCATGAAACCGACACGAGCTGGCCAACAACCAATGCTAGCCCCAACGTTGAGAATAATACCATTTTCTAGATCCACATTCCACACGTTGGGCGAGTAGCGCCGTAATTAATATTGGGGCCAATGTGTAGAGCTGGCGGGACATATATCCTTTGGGCCAATATTGGAGAATGTGTGAAGACAGCGTAACAGTAATCAACCAATAAAGAGTTGCCCTAATGTTCTATATCGCTCTAACGAATATATCTAAATTCGATGCGGAAATATGAAAATACATTTTATCTTTTTTTATCCAATCCGTAATCTGATATTGAGAAAGAGACACCATGCTGTTTAGGTAGTTTATTCTCAGATTGGCAACATTTTTACAGTGCTGTCAAAGAGCCAGGCATATTTTATTGGCGATGCAAAGATTCGTGTCAAAATTGTGAAGCTGTCTAAGAACGACACTGACAGTTTTCGTAAATAATTTACGTCACAGAAAAATTTATTTATAATATACATCAGATTTATGTGGTTTCTTGTAGATAAATATTTAAGTAAATTGCATAATTAATCAAATTTTATACTAATTACTAGCGACCCGCCCCGGCTTCGCACGGGTGCAATATGTATATACATACAAACCTTCCTTAAGAATCACTCTATCTATTAAAAAAAACTGCATCAAAATCCGTTGCGTAGTTTTAAAGATCTAAGCATACATACGGACATACAGCGAAAGCGACTTTGTTTTATACTATGTATTGATTTAATTATTATCCTTAACTCACTTCATTACACTCGAATATCAATATTTTATCCACAATCACTCCACTATTAAACTCGCATTTATTTAAATTCCTGATTCATTCACATTGTAAATTTTTCATTAATAAAAATTTGACGCATTTTAATTAATTTCAATTATAGTTTATATTAATTGCTAAAAAATATTGTATTTAGTCTACTTGCATCAAGCATACTTAATAATTAAAAAATAGATATTTTTATGAAATATACGCAGTGGCTACTACAGGTACTGATGTAATGTTACATCTAACTGTTTACTTGTACTTTTGGTATCACGTCAATTACAATGTATTGCGGCTTGCGGCATCTTTCTTTTCACTGATCTTTATGTCTGTCACCACTTTAGCATATAAACACATACACACATATATCCCATTGGATTTTTACAAAAATATCTCGAAATTCAACACTGACAGATAACCCACCACTGATTGCTGACCTGTGTAAAGGCGGATCGACCGCAATCAAATTATTACATTACCATTACACATACTTAGGGCAGATTATCCAGTTAAATACAACTTCTATAAAGAGGTCGCCCGAAGAATCCAACTCGGAAGGGCAGCGTTCGGGAAGTTACGCGAAATTTGCTTATCGAAAATCCCTCAGTGCCTGAAAACCAAGATGTTCAACCAGTGTGCGTTGCCGGTGTTGACGTATCGTACCGAAACGTGGTCCCTGACCTCTGGCCTTCTGGAGAAACTGAAAGTCGCTCAGCTCGCGAATTGGCAATGTGGAAATTCGCCAAAGAACTAGAGTTACCAACATAGCTCGCAAAATATGCAGACTGATGTGGCAATGGGCAGGCCACGTCGCTCGACAGACTGACGACAGATGGGCCAGGAAAGTCCTTGAGTGGAAACTACGAACCAGAAGAGGAAGAGTGGGCAGGTCTCTCGTTAGGTGGACCGAGGACATCGCCAGCGTTGCGGGGAGCCAGTGGATGAAGGTGGCGAGTTATTGTTCGACGTGGAGGGCTAAGGGGGAGGCTTGTCCAGCAGTTATTACTAAATTGCTATTGATGATGATGATAATGACAAAATTATTGGCAGAATGATAATGATCTGTTGTATCTTTCTGCTTTTTTTTACTTATATCTCCTAGATATTAGTAAAAAAGAAACACCAGCATGTTTATTAATGTAAATTATAGTCTCGATAGTAATATCGAGATACATTTTAAATTCTACCCATAGACAATCTTTAGAACTCTATATTATATAGATCAATGGTTTCATATATCTATTTAAAGTAGAGTACCTACCTAGTACCTATTCCAATCTGTCAAATTTATTCATTGTTTTTTGTCTTTATGTCTCTTGCACGTCGTATCATGTTGCGTGGGTCACCAAAATAATGCATGAGGCTATTGCAGATTGGTGGCTACGGAGGCACCGCGACTTACGAGTGTGTCTCTGACTTTAGTGTGGGTGAGCCATAAGGTTTGATGCCGGCCTTTTGGGAATTGGGGATGGGATGGGGAGAGGATTGCGCATCCAGTAACCAATATAACGTTTGCTTAATGCTTGTATTCTACTGGGTGATGTGATTGCCCCGGTCGCTCTGGCGTGAAATTATTTGTTTGAAACATTTCTTGTTGGAAGTAAGAATAGGTGTTGAAGTTGAATGTTACAAGTAAGAAATATTGAGAAATTGATTTGAGGAAGAGTATGGGAGGGGGATAGGGCTTGTAACCTCGCTCATACAGCGATGTGTTTCGCAAGCGTTGGTTCACATTGTTGGAAGCATGGTTTTTAATTCTGTACGAGTTTCCATGTCGTGACACATCACAGTTCTCATAAATTGGCTGTATACATTTATTGTTGTATATTTTACTTAAACATTACATTCACGTTACAAAGATTTAATATAATATTTACAAGCACTGTGAGAACAATGCCGCAGTAGTCCCGATGCGGTAGCTAGGCGTAGAGCCGCAGAGTGCCGTCGGCGCAGGCGGCGGCCAGCCAGGGCTGCGCGGGGTGCCAGCGCAGCTCCAGCACGTTGAGGTCGGCGGCGCGCGCGCCGGCCGCCAGCGACTTCAGCGGCACCAGCAGCGGGTTCTGCAGCAGGTCGCTGCAACACCACCGAGTACTTTTTACCCCCGGGATCGCGGGCGAAGCCGCTGCCAGAAGCTAGTATGTCGCAGCCTAATTGTATAATACATTACGGCTAGCCATTTAGAAAAGCAGGGCCGTTTTGGGATACGGCGACTTTCCGATTAACCGTATTGTCAATGCGAAACGTTGTACAATATGTCAGCACACGTTTAGCCTCATTGTAATTATTTTACAATGGATTGTCTGGGTGACCATTATACAGGTGTACCAAAACTCAACGATAATCTGAGACCGGATGAAAAGCCAAGTTATACCAGTTCAGCTATAATAGATTTTTTTTAAAAAATGTTGAAATTCGACACCCTTGGTCGCGTTTTCAAGTCCTGTGATCACCAATGTCACAATTTCGCAGTGATTTTTTTTTAATTTTGTGATCTTCATGTCGAGTACCGTCATTATAGACACAATTATAGAACAATAGGTTGCGGTCACCGGTGACTGCTTGGTGTTTGACGGTTTAAATATGCTGTTAATCGCAACTACAAATTAATGCAAAAAACATCGTTAATTTAATAAAATAAGTTAAGTTTCAGTGAGTAATCGTTCACAAAAATATTGATAGTTAACTTTGACACTTCATATTGAAAAAAAAATGTACTACACTACCCTTGACAAGTTATTTCAAAAGATGGCGCATTTAATCAAGATTTTAAAATGGTGCAACACTTGCTACTTTTCTTGCCTTTAAAAAATATTTCTTATTTTTTTTTCCAATTGAGCGCATTTCAAAAATAATAATTAATACTTTTTGTATTAACATATCGGAGTCTCGAGTGTGTGTAATGAACAAAAGTGATAGAATGAGATAGATGGTGACGCTGACAGTCTGTCTCACTCTAGAGTGAGACAGATTGACATTCGACTTTTAGGATGAGCGAGACAGATAGTGACGCTTGAGGGGTCGTTCGTTCACAACATTTAGTACGCATCGTTTCTTCGTCTAAAACGCATCTCTCGTATTCGTGTAACTATCGTACTGACGACTTTGGCTTGTGTTACTTTGGACTTGATACTGCATCCGTATTGACGACTTTGGCTTTTGTTACTTTGGACTTGATACTGCATCCGTATTGACGACTTTGGCTTTTGTTACTTTGGACTTGATACTGCATCCGTATTGACGACTTTGGCTTTTGTTACTTTGGACTTGATACTGCATCCGTATTGACGACTTTGGCTTTTGTTACTTTGGACTTGATACTGCATCCGTATTGACGACTTTGGCTTTTGTTACTTTGGACTTGATACTGCATCCGTATTGACGACTTTGGCTTTTGTTACTTTGGACTTGATACTGCATCCGTATTGACGACTTTGGCTTTTGTTACTTTGGACTTGATACTGCATCCGTATTGACGACTTTGGCTTTTGTTACTTTGGACTTGATACTGCATCCGTATTGACGACTTTGGCTTTTGTTACTTTGGACTTGATACTGCATCCGTATTGACGACTTTGGCTTTTGTTACTTTGGACTTGATACTGCATCCGTATTGACGACTTTGGCTTTTGTTACTTTGGACTTGATACTGCAT